TATACACTATACACTATTCGTATTCGGCGGAATAGTTGGTCCCGTTTACAAAAATCACTTTTCGGTACAGCCCTAGAATAAATTACATCGAACGAACGGCCGAGCGAACGATGGTTTTGAAAGAGGTGGCAGTGACCACTGGAAAGATCTGTGGAAGGAGGGATAGAGGAAGACACCGATAGAAGATTCTTGGCAGTCTTTTTGTATGGCATGGAGGTGTGTCAGCATACGAACTGATACATGCTGCAGGAGATCACAGATTGTGGTGGGGCATAATCGCCCACGCCAGCCGGCAAGGTACCCGATGATGATAATATACTATTCGTATTCGTATTCGGCCGAATAGTCGCACTATTCATATTCGGCCGAATAGTGAAAATCACTATTCGGTACAGCCCTAATATAATATATATATATATATATATATATATATATATATTATATATATATATATATATATATACATATATATACATATATATACAAGTGTGTGTGTGGGGGGGGGGGTGTATAGTGCATACTAGCCGCTCCCCAACAGCTCTCATCAGATACTAGAGTAGAACTCAAAGCCACTAATTTTGGTGCAATATACATTTCTTTGCCCAAAAAAAATTGACACAAAGAAACCGAACCACAGTTATAACTGATGCTGCTCACAGTAGGTCAAACTTGTTAGATTTTTTGTTTTGTTTCTCATAAATGAATGGATGGATAGATACATGGTACTGTTCTAGTTTCTCTGATGTCTTTCCATCTTGCCCTTGTCCCCATCACAATTGTGTTGAATAGGGACAAATATACTCTTTGTTGTTTATTATCCTTGCCAGTGAAAATCCAGCACAAACAGCTGGTCTCAACACGACTTCATCGTCAAGTGCCTTGCCGACTCACGTGGGCGATAATGCCTCTCCACAATCTGTGTATATCAGTTAGTGTGTTGACACCCCTTCATGTCATGACAATAGACAGTCAAGAATATTCTCGTACTGTCTTTCTCTATCTCTCTTTCAGAAGATTTTTTCAGTGGTCACAACATGTTCTAGTTTCCCTCTTCTCATAAGATGAGCAAAACATGATTGCTGTCTCTGTCTGATGTTTGTGATAAATTGTCTTCGAGTATTCACCTCTTTCAAAACATCTGGGCTGCTCTTCTGGGCTGTCCAAGGAATAGTAAGGTTTCTTTTGTAAAATCACGTCTCCGAGGTCTCAAGATATTTCTCGGCTTGTTTACTAATTGTCCAGGACCCACAGCTATATGTTAAAACTGGTTCTATATAGCTTACGAGAATTCTTATCTGTACCTCCAATGACAAGTATTTATTGCATAAAGTGTTCTTAATTTCAAAAATGAAGTTTTGGCCTGTCCTGTTTTATTCTTTAACTCTGTGATACATCTTCCATCGGATGTTGTCTATGTGCCAAGATACTTAATTTTCTGTACTTGTGCTTAAATAACGCCTTTGACCTTTATTAAACATTTAGGCCCTATTATTTTTTGGGAAATCGCCCATTACTTCTGTATTCCTATTATTCAAACTGAGGCCCATTTTATCACTTTCTACCACCGCCGTATCTATTAATTCCTGTATTTGTTCCTGACTTGTCGCTATCAGGACACAGGCTGTTTATGTTATGACAACAAGACTACGTCTCTCTCTCTCTCTCTCTTAACGTTTCAGTTTCTCTAAAAGATTTACATACAAAACTCTGTCCACAAGTTAGCATATACTCAGCGTGTGAATGTACGCCTCGTAGTTTACCAGTGTTTAGAATTTATGATCTCGTTAGGCCAATTCCTTTGTGGTTTTAACACTAGTTCGTCTACTGAGAACCCCAGCTACTGCATAAGAAAACTCACAAATCAGTCAAAGTATGCCCTGCTAGTCAATTAGTCTGGTTTCTGATACCAGCAACACAAGTCATTACTATGAGCACAGGCAGTTCTTGGAACTGGTTATGGACCTGCGATACTACTCCTCCCCAGAGCTGTACCTCGTGTAGAACAATCGTAGAACCCTCTTCAATCTTCAAAGTAAGCGTAAACGTGTGATATACGCCCAACTTAGCGACTGCAAGATGTCTTAAAGACACTACACAACCAGCTATATCTAGCAACTCCAAAAACTGCCCATGGCAACATCCTTACAACATCTGAAAAAAGAAAAATATGCTGGCACAATGTCCTAACAGTTCCCCAGTCTCCACAACTGAACAGTTCCCTGGACTCCACGACTGAAAATTTCCCCGGGCTCCACAACTGAATAGTTCCCAAGTCTCCAAAACTAAACGGTTCACCAGTCTCCATAACTGAACAGTTCCCCAGACTTCTCAACTGAACAGTTTTCCAGTTTCCACAACTGAACACTTCTCCAGCGTCCACAACTGAACAGTTCTCCAGCGTCCACAACTGAACAGTTTTCCAGCGTCCACAACTGAACAGTCTCCCAGTTTCCACAACTGAACAGTTCTCCAGAGTCCACAACTGAACAGTCGCCCAGTGTCCACAACTGAACAGTTCTCCAGTCTCCACAACTGAACAGTCGCCCAGTGTCCACAACTGAACAGTTCTCCAGTGTCCACAACTGAACAGTCGCCCAGTGTCCACAACTGGACAGTTCTCCAGTCTCCACAACTGAACAGTCGCCCCAGTGAACAGTCCACACAACTGAACAGTTCTCCAGTCTCCACAACAGTGAACAGTTTTTCCAGCGTCCAGTTCTCAGAGTCCACCACAACTGAACAGTCGCCCAGTTTCCACAACTGAACAGTTCTCCAGTGTCCACAACTGAACAGTTCTCCAGCGTCCACAACTGAACAGTTCGCCCAGTCTCCACAACTGAACAGTCGCCCAGTCTCCACAACTGAACAGTCGCCCAGTGTCCACAACTGAACAGTCGCCCAGTCTCCACAACTGAACAGTTCTCCAGTCTCCACAACTGAACAGTCGCCTAGTGTCCACAACAGCAAGAAACATCATCACAACAACTCAGCACATGATTCCTTAAAAAAAAAAAAAAACGACACAAGAAACAGATTTACATTATAGAATTAACTTTCAAGCTGATAGAACAAAGAAGAAATTTAAAGCAAGTAGGGACAGAAACAAATAGCCATGTATATAGGAACTACATGAAAGAAATCAGAAGAGCTATCACATGAGATTTTAAAAAAAATTTATTATTAATACCTGTAAAAGAATTGAAAAACTACAGATGCAAGAGACAGAGACTTGTTTAAAGAAATTAAAACATTTAATGGCGAATCCAGGCCTTCTTTTTTATGTAACACTTTAATGGAGAACAAAGACATATTAGAAAGATGGAAAGAATAGTGCAGAGAAATGAATGGGGGTCTGACAAGTTATTCAAAACAACTTATGAAAGCTATGAAAAAAACCAGAGTCTTTACAGGAGGAGGTTCGATCAGCAATAGACAGCCTGAAGAAATGAAAGTCACCAGTTAGCGACGAAATACCAGCAAAACTAATTCAAGCAGGGGGAGAGGCCATCGTCCGAATCTACCATTCACTATGTACGAAGATCTGGAACAGTGGCATTTGGCCTAAAGCGTGCAAAAGAACAATCTATATCTCTCTCCCAAAGAAAGGAAATCTGAAACTGCTCCAACTACCGTACAATCACATTAATAAGTCATGCTAGCAATATTTTCTTACGAATTTTCACAAAGAGGATTGAAAGGAAATTACAATATGAACTACATGAAGTACGAGCGGGTTTCAGACAAGGTAGAGGAACTATAAAATCACATATTTACCACGAGAATAATTTTTGAAAAATGCAGAGAATGTAACGTAGATCTTCAAGCCTGTTTCATTAATTATTGCAAGGCATTTGATTATGTCCAACATCAGAAATTGTTGACTATTATGAGAAGTATGGGATTTCCATCGCATTCAGTGCATATAATTAAAATCTTTCACTAACAACAAGCAGCCATCAGAGCAGCTGGTGAAACTTCGGATTGGTTCGTGGTGCACAAGGGGTTGAGGCGGGTGTGCATTCTCTCACCAGACCTATTCAATATATACGCAGAAAATATAACGAGAAATGTCAAAACTGACAAGACTTGTGACAACAATTATGATCCGCTTGTCAATTCCAGGTGGCAACCCTATTCCGAAACTTCGCTATGCAGATGACACAGTCCTCCTTTCGAACAGCATAAAGGAAATATAAAATTTAATATTGTCTGTCCAAAAGCACAGTGAAGATCAAAATCTTGAATTTAAAGAACACGAAAATAATGTCCACATACAAAACTGGCTGCCATCCAAAAATAAAAGTAAATGATAAATAAATTGAAAATGTCACAAACTTTGAGTATCTAAGGTCTCTATAATAAATAGAAATGGAGATTGTTTGACAAAAACTAAAAGGAGGATAGCCATAGCAATGCAAAGATTAAACAGCCTTAAAAGTCTTTGGTTAAGCACTAGCAAGGAGATCAAAATAAGAAATAGGAGAGCATGCATCTTCCCTGTAGCAACACACGGATGTGAATCGTGGACTATCAACCAGTCCTTAAGAAAGAGAATAGGGGCTTTTGAGCTGAAATACTGTAAAAAGATTCTCAGAACATCTTGGACAAAGAAGTGGAGAAAAATTGACATCTTGAAAGACCTAAACATCAAGGAATATTGGCTAATAAACAGCATCCTGTCTCAGAAGCTCAAATATTTTCGTCATGTCAAGCGCCACGACGGATTGGAAACTATTATAGCAGAAGGCATGGTACCAGAAAGGAAGGACAGGGGCCGACCGATACGAAGATGGGCACAGGATATAAGTGACTCCTTGAGTATAAAAGTACAAGACGCGGGAGAGCTGGCGAGAGACCGAGTTTCTTTCAGACAGACTGTCATAAGAGCGACGTTCTGCAAAGGACCTGCTACATGATTGATATCTAGGAAAAATCATTGTATCTAGATTGCCACCTAGTAGGTAAGTCTTTGTCACGTCGAATTGTATTTGGACTGTAGTTTAGCTCGTACATGGCTTTCTGTTGCTGGTAAACAATGAAAGAAAAACCTCTTTGAACTTGCTACTCACTAAATAGTAAACAATGATGTTGACGCTGGAATTGACCAGGCCAAAGTCGTAGACTAGAATGTAAGCCACATGGTAAAGATTATTATACGTCTTACCAATATCTAGCTTGGGTACCAAAGCTCTCGCAACTGCTACAATTAACACTGGTAAATTACAAACAAAGAAAATGACGGCGACCATTATTACAACCTTTGCCAGTTTGGAGTCTTTAGTACTCATGGTTTTGTCTTTTGTATTTGGCTTCTTATCTGTTTTTGAATCAACTGCGACCTGTGTGCCAGATTGTCCCTCATTTACAGCAGACATTCCTGTCGACCTGAGTCTGAACTTGGCCGAAGTTTTGACTGCTGATAACATGAAAACGGCGCTGATGGTGATGACGATCTGGGCGATGGTTGGTATAACCACGCCGTTAAACATGTCCACGAAAACGTCGACGTCTCTTCTGTTTATCGATATCCACAGAACCAGTCGTGAGTTATTGAACCGTCCATCAAACTCCCATTGCAGCCCTTGCGTGGCCCAAGCTGGGCAAAAACATGCACAGCTAAATATAACGATTGCCGCGTTGATCAAGATGGACCTAGACTTTGTAAATACCTCTTTGACTTTAAACGGAACTATTAAACAAATACATCTCTCTATAGACAAATGCATGGTGACAATAGTTGACAAGATATAAGTGAATCCTCGAGTGTAGCCAAAGTAAACATACTGGATAGCCAAAAAGTTCACGGTTGGAATCGGAAAGTGGCTTTCGATAATAAAGCAAATGATTGAAAGTAATGAAGTAAAACAGTTTCCGAAATCCCATAAAGATAAGGCTATAAACGTGACTGTCACGCTGTCTTTAACTCCTTGTCTGCAATAAACAACAACATTGATCACGTTTGAGACAATTCCAAAGACCGCGATCACGCTGCCAAAAATGAAAAACATGGAGAGCTCAAAGTAGTGGTACATTACATCAGTGAAAACTTCGTTTGGTGGGAAAATTGTGACTTCTCTGGCAGAAACAGACAATGACTGCTGTGTTGTTCGAAGACACGACACAGATCCGGTCGCCATCGTTAGAAAATACTTGGCGAACAGTCTGCAGATAAACGTTTCACTTTGTAACTTTCGCTGGATACAAAGTATTACTGATTGTGATTGTTTTGCGGGCTTTAGTTTAACGTGTTTAATGGCGGCGGAGTTGTCAGTAACAAAAGTCCTAGGGTATCTATCGCAGCCTAGCTGTAAAATACGACTAACATGCCAACCACTTTTTTTTTTTCAGGGTAAACGCAGAAGAGTAAGAATTCAATTAATTAAAGAGGAACAGTTGAGATGGTTTTGTCTTGTAACTAGAATGTCCTGGTACCAACTGCCACAGTGAGAGACACAGTGAAGAAATATAATGAACACAGAGCAAGGGGAAGATAATGCAAACTATGGAACGACAGCATGAAGAACAACAGCCTTAGGTGATAGTGAAGGTGGTTGTGGCTGCGGCAGTTGTGTGGTAGTGAGGATATTTTTTAGGGTAGGAAGCTTTCAATAGCATCACTGATTGTTTTATACACAGACAAACCCTCCATAACAATCTTAGCGGGTGATCTAAGGTCGGTTGTCTTTGAATCACAGTAATTTTCCTGAGGAAAGATGAAGTCATAGAGCGCTGTAACACAGTGTCCAGCGCTTTGTTGGCCGACCTGAAGATCTTCAGCTGGAATCCGATATAAGCGGCAGGAGCGATGTTTCCCCACGTCGCTCATCGATTCTTCGATAGTTCAATAAAATATATGAATCTAGGACAATCCTCGAGACCATTGATTCCCAAACTGTGCGCCGCGGCGCCCCGGGGAGCCGCGACCTCTTGACAGGGGCGCCGCGAAATATTCAAAGATACACGAGTTTAATTATTATTCTATCTCTTACATACGAATAGTCAGACTTTTACATAGGTTAGAGCGACGTGGAAAAAAAAAATTGTAATTGAAAAAAACGCGCCACGACTAAGTGAGTGAGTGACTTTCTACCCCACTAGGACATCACACTAGCGATAAACACCCGATGACACAAAGTGCCACCATATGGATAGGTCCCAGAAACCGCGTTCAGACATTTGGCCATTTTTATGGCCTGCCTATATTGCGGCCCCTGGCAAAAGCCAGAGTGGGGCTTCAAATAACAAAAAATTACGTCCTGAAAAGGACGTAAGGACTTTGACGCGCCGCGACTTAGAACAGTTTGTGAAACACAGCTCTAGACGGAGCTCCCAACTTCGGCGCACACAAATTTGGAATAATCATGTATAGACAGGTATCTTAGAAGTGCAGTTTAGGACTTGGTTTATCCCTGTCCTACCTCTAACCGTCTGGTGCCCAGTTTAGGGCTTGGTTTATCCCTGTCCTACCTCTAACCGTCTGGTGCCCAGTTTAGGGCTTGGTTTATCCCTGTCCTACCTCTAACCATCTGGTGCCCAGTTTAGGGCTTGGTTTATCCCTGTCCTACCTCTAACCATCTGGTGCCCAGTTTAGGGCTTGGTTTATCCCTATCCTACCTCTAACCATCTGGTGCCCAGTTTAGGGCTTGGTTTATCCCTATCCTTCCTCTAACCATCTGGTGCCCAGTTTAGGGCTTGGTTTATCCCTATCCTTCCTCTAACCATCTGGTGCCCAGTTTAGGGCTTGGTTTATCTCCGTCCTACCTCTAACCATCTGGTGCCCAGTTTAGGGCTTGGTTTATCCCTGTCCTACCTCTAACCCTCTGGTGCCCAATTTAGGGCTTGGTTTATCCCTGTCCTACCTCTAACCATCTGGTGCCCAGTTTAGGGCTTGGTTTATCCCTGTCCTACCTCTAACCCTCTGGTGCCCAGTTTAGGGCTTGGTTTATCCCTGTCCTACCTCTAACCCTCTGGTGCCCAATTTAGGGCTTGGTTTATCCCTGTCCTACCTCTAACCATCTGGTGCCCAGTTTAGGGCTTGGTTTATCCCTGTCCTACCTCTAACCATCTGGTGCCCAGTTTAGGGCTTGGTTTATCCCTGTCCTACCTCTAACCCTCTGGTGCCCAGTTTAGGGCTTGGTTTATCCCTGTCCTACCTCTAACCATCTGGTGCCCAGTTTAGGGCTTGGTTTATCCCTATCCTACCTCTAACCCTCTGGTGCCCAGTTTAGGGCTTGGTTTATCCCTGTCCTACCTCTAACCCTCTGGTGCCCAATTTAGGGCTTGGTTTATCCCTGTCCTACCTCTAACCATCTGGTGCCCAGTTTAGGGCTTGGTTTATCCCTGTCCTACCTCTAACCCTCTGGTGCCCAGTTTAGGGCTTGGTTTATCCCTGTCCTACCTCTAACCCTCTGGTGCCCAGTTTAGGGCTTGGTTTATCCCTGTCCTACCTCTAACCCTCTGGTGCCCAGTTTAGGGCTTGGTTTATCCCTGTCCTACCTCTAACCCTCTGGTGCCCAATTTAGGGCTTGGTTTATCCCTGTCCTACCTCTAACCATCTGGTGCCCAGTTTAGGGCTTGGTTTATCCCTGTCCTACCTCTAACCCTCTGGTGCCCAGTTTAGGGCTTGGTTTATCCCTGTCCTACCTCTAACCCTCTGGTGCCCAGTTTAGGGCTTGGTTTATCCCTGTCCTACCTCTAACCCTCTGGTGCCCAGTTTAGGGCTTGGTTTATCCCTGTCCTACCTCTAACCCTCTGGTGCCCAGTTTAGGGCTTGGTTTATCCCTGTCCTACCTCTAACCCTCTGGTGCCCAGTTTAGGGCTTGGTTTATCCCTGTCCTACCTCTAACCCTCTGGTGCCCAATTTAGGGCTTGGTTTATCCCTGTCCTACCTCTAACCCTCTGGTGCCCAATTTAGGGCTTGGTTTATCCCTGTCCTACCTCTAACCCTCTGGTGCCCAATTTAGGGCTTGGTTTATCCCTGTCCTACCTCTAACCCTCTGGTGCCCAATTTAGGGCTTGGTTTATCCCTGTCCTACCTCTAACCCTCTGGTGCCCAATTTAGGGCTTGGTTTATCCCTGTCCTACCTCTAACCCTCTGGTGCCCAATTTAGGGCTTGGTTTATCCCTGTCCTACCTCTAACCCTCTGGTGCCCAATTTAGGGCTTGGTTTATCCCTGTCCTACCTCTAACCCTCTGGTGCCCAATTTAGGGCTTGGTTTATCCCTGTCCTACCTCTAACCATCTGGTGCCCAGTTTAGGGCTTGGTTTATCCCTGTCCTACCTCTAACCATCTGGTGCCCAGTTTAGGGCTTGGTTTATCCCTGTCCTACCTCTAACCATCTGGTGCCCAGTTTAGGGCTTGGTTTATCCCTGTCCTACCTCTAACCATCTGGTGCCCAGTTTAGGGCTTGGTTTATCCCTGTCCTACCTCTAACCCTCTGGTGCCTTACCCTGGCCATGAGCTGATTAAGCACGCTGCGACTATAAAGACATCGCACGTTTTGCATCAAGACATTTTTTGCAATATGAGCAGGCACACGTGGTCTGTCGGTCGTGGTTTTTCTATTATTATTATTACTACAAACAATCACTCTACAAGACGACTCTAATCAATCGGACATGTAAACAATGACCTCACAAACTGTCTGCACGTTTTAGATGTATTTTTCTAACCACTGTGGCGTGACAATGATCCTTTCTGTTTTAAGGTAAAAAAATGTAAGACGTAAAATTATAATAGCGGTAGAAATGCAGATAGAGAGAAAATAAACGAAAATATTTTCTCAAATAAGGATTTCATGTCGACAGCGTATGGCCGAAAGTTCGGGTAGGTCGTGCAAATCCTGCAGTTATTGTATGATGTAGTAAATGATTAGATATGCTACTCCGTGACGCAATGAGATGAGTTAAGTATTGTTCACTGTTGGATTTTTTCCCGAACATTTCCCATTACATTTTTAAATGATGGTACAATGTTTTTAACAAACCCAGAGACATGCTAGAAATATATATATATATGTCCTATGCTGCTTATGGATAAACAATCGTGCGGTAGGCACTAAAGACCGTTATCTCCCTCCCCTCTCTCTCCGCTCTCTCTCTCTCTCTCTCTCTCTCTCTCTCTCTCTCTCTCTCTCTCTCTCGTTAAAATATGTGGGGGACATTAACGCTGTGGTGTGATCTACAAGGTGATACCCCGTACCTCACCTTTGACGCCAGGATTCTCTATGCTGGTTTTACAAACCTCATGCAGGACTCTTGCTTCACGTGCCCATCGTTTGCCACATGATAATGGCTTATGTCGGTCTCAACGGAGATGGCAGGGAATCTCTGAGGCAGTGGCCCCAAAGGTGCGGTGTTCAGAAAACCGCGGACACCAGCATGCCACCCACTCCCGCCCTTACTTTTTTTTTTAACGCATGTGGTATAATGCCTGTTTGGAACTGATGGGAAGGTGAGTGACATCCGCTGGCCGAGTCTCCTAAAAGTGACCCACATGACTTTAAACTGAGTCCTACTGAACAGCAAAGGTTTAGACTGGCTACAGTCATCCTACGTTTGCTTCGAAGTCGGGGTGCATCTGCCTGATATGCAATATACTAACAGTCTGCACACAAGTAACCCAGATCTGTCAAAAAAGTACATACTAAATTCAAGTTCTTGAACAGGGCCAAACAAACAACAAACAATCAAAATTTGTCATATGCTTGGCTACTGTAAATGTCTTAAATCTAGCTACTTAAATGGCTAAACACAAATTACGCTGATGTTCTGTAAGTATGAGCTAAGGTTGTGGCTCAACCTGGCTAATTAGGATAACACTCTCTTTCAGAATCACAGCGGAGCGGTTATAAGATGAACCATCAACGATGATGCTGGAATCTCGACTAACTACCAGGTTGTCATTTGGAGGCGAACGGTTGGAAATCCTGTACTGTTTGTGGAGTTTTAAATGTCTACGTAATCTCCTGTCTCCCCAAATCTTTGTATTGTTCCTCTATTTCTGTTAGTGTTCATTAATATCTGTCAATGTATTTATCATGCTACAGGGAGGTATACTTTCAAATACATAATACGTCTACTGCATGCAGACGATTCAATGGGGGAAAAACCTTAATTAGTTTGTATCTTTGCAGAT